AACTTGCTATCGTTTCTGAGGAGAAGCCAACACCCAGATACCAAAAATAACTCCTTGCACAGCAGTCACATGTTCCTGCCACTCAAATCCAAATCCTAATGACAACAGAGTAGTGCCTGGCACCCATCAGACTGCTGTGCTGAAGTCCAAATGGCACATACCATCCAAAGGTACAGAATAGCAAGAAAAAGACACAGAGCTTTATCTTATTTTCATGAACTTGGTTTTAAAAGCAACTGAAATTATTAGCACAGGCAGAAGAAGTTTCAAACTTCTGATCTTTCTGTAGTAGTTCAGCACCTCCTGGACTATATTTCACAGGACAGTGGTCACCAAAGAAGGTAATTGTAAGTTCCCTGAAAGGAGTACCACCAAGAACTTATTCTATAAAACTTACAGCTCCTTAGATGGAACGACGATTGCACAGAGGTTTTGTAAAAGCTCTTGCTGTACAAGCCTGATAACCTGAGTTAAATCCCCAGAACTAATGGTGAAAGGAGAGAACAAGTGGAAAATTGTCCTCTGACTTCCACGTGTGTGCTGTGGAATGTGCAAACTCACACACGCACAACAATAATAAAAATTTATAATTTGTACAGCTACTTAGAATTGAATCTATTTTTCTAACTTTGAGAAACGTCTGTGAGCATTAAGGAATTACTGCCTTTTTTTTGTTTTTTTAGAAACAGGATCTCTCCCCCTGTAGCCCCAGCTGGCCTAGAACTCACTATGTAGACCAGGCTGGCCTCAGTCTCACAGAGATCTGCCTCATGAGTGTTGAGATTAAAGGCATGTACCACCAAGCCTGGTGAATTACTGTTAATTTTGTGAGGCATAACAATAGAATGATTAAGCCAGGCATGGTGACACACGCCTTTAGCCGCAGCACTCGTGAGGCAGAAGAGGGCAGACCTCTGAATTCAAGGCCAGCCTGGTCTACGTAGTGAGTTCCAGGCCAGCTGGGGCTACAGGAAGATCCTGTCTCAAAAACTCCAAAACAATGGAATGATGAGAGATATTAGAGATGCCTTTTTTTTTTTCCTTTTTCTGTTTTTTGAGACAGGGTCTTGCTATGTAGCACTTACTGGCCTAGGGCTCACTAAATAGACTAGTCTGTTTATCTCAAACTCATAGCAATCCTTCTGCCTCTGCCTTCTGAGTGGGATTAAAGGGATTAAAGGTCTGCACCACCATCCTAACTAGAAGCATTTTGAAGTGTTTTTGAAGAAACAGTCAATTGTCTAGGATTTGCCTTAGAATACTTCAGAAAATAAACTTCTATGTAATTAAAACTCTAAACAACTGTATGGACAGGGATAAATATGAGAAGTCCATTGAGAGTGTATTTGTTCAGATCCATGATGCGTACATAGGGGATGGTAGATTGCTCTCTACTCTGCAGATGCCTGAATTATAACTGAGAAAGACAAAGAACAAAAGAGAAAGCCATCTATACTACACCTATAGCAGGAATTCTCTTAAAAGCACTGTATACTGCTAAAAACAATTTAACCTTCAAGATACCACGTTAAAAGCAGAAAGATATCACTTACAGACAAAATGTAAGTGTTGTTTGGGCATGTTCTAGACCATCAAGCTGTCTAACTGCTAGTCTACTTATTCAAGATGCAGATCTGCAGTAATTAATCTAAAAATTCACTCAGAAACCGGTTACACAATAAAAAAGCAAAGTTTATAGGTAATTGTGTGTCTGTGTATGTGTGTGGGGGGGGGGTTCTGAGAATTAAATTATGACCTTGAACATGCTAAGCAAGCACTCTGTCACTGAGCTACATCCCTAGTCTCTCCCTTTAATTAAGTGAAAAACTGGTTAAGTTCTCTGATTTTTGTTATCTGGGTAGTTTAGAAACATTATTCTGATTGGATCAGTAAGATGTTTAGTAGGTAAAGGCACTTGCTGCCAAGCCTGACAACTGAGTTTGACCCCTAAGACCCACATTGTGGAAGGAAAGAACCAAATCACCCAAGCTGCCCTCTAAATCCTCACATGTGCACCATAATGCACATGCGTGTACAGAGATAATAAACAATAAATGTAATAATACATTTTTAGGTTGCTCTGATCTAAGTCAGGCTTTCCTGAATTATCTGGAGCTAGCATGTAGAAGAGCTGACTTTCCCACTGTTCTCACACTGTGATTAGAACATGGCATGGCTAGATCTTTCCTCCTAGAGCCCTTCTACTACTAACTGCCCCCCTTCCCATCACACTCGCACTTCTCTCTCAAACACCACCACCATTCATTTGTGGTAAAATGCAACAGAGCCTCTAAAACAGAAAATGGCTCTGAGGCCAAAGTAGTCACCCTTAAGAAGATCGGGGCAAGTTGGCTGCAATGTAGGCAGAGGATTTAGAATATTTCCGGGGTTCCTAAATGGACTTCTTTCTGCAGGAGCACAAAGTCTTTGACAATGATTTTTGCTTCATTGACTTGTGGCCCAAACAGGTAAGGTAAAGAATCTTCAACCAAGTTGACATTGTTGCCAAATGCCAGTTGTCCAATCTTGCTTCTTCCTTTCAGTGTCCACAGTGGCCGTCTCTTCATATAAAACACCTTCAAAGCTCTCCTGATCCCTTCTTGCCCTGTCACCATCCTTCCCCTTGCCACCAAAGCCAAGATCTAAGGCACAATGCCACTGTCTATGCTGTGACCATCAGTCTGACTTTCACTTACATCACCCCTGGGAACGGTGCTTGCTGAGGACACAACTGAGGAGCTGCTCTGTTCCAATTCTGTCAAGACAGTTGCACTTACTCACTTGCTTGCTTCACTTTAAACCAACCCTCCCATCTCTCTGACCATTCCCTTTTCTACTTTCCTTTCAGTTTTGAAATATTTGATTTTCAACATTTTCCTTGTCAGTAGACAGAAATTTAATACAAACTTAGTGCTTTAACCCTATGATATCAAGATGACCTTCTTTTACTAGGGACAAGAACCTAGAGGCGTTCTTCTACAGACACAACTATAGCTCAATGAGTCTATCTCCAGGTCTATGTTTATCCTAAGGGTTACTCACACTTCACTGTAAAGTTGTATCAGGATTAGTACTAATACTGTATGTCCTCTGCTAGTCAGTGAATAAGCTTTCCACACAAAATGTCTTACCTATCTTTATACTTACGCTCAGCACTGTTGAATGAATACTCAATTTTTATTCAGAAAGTAGTAACTGCCCATCTACTACACACAGCACTGAACAAGCTGAAGAAGTGAACAGGACACAGAAAAGGCAAATCCACAAGACAAAAAGTACACCTGAAACTTCCCAAAGCTAGGGGAGGAACAGGGATTAGCTGCAAATGGGTAGTACATGAAACCCCAGCTACTTGGAAAGCCTCAGAAGACAGGATGACTGAGAGCACAAGGCCAGCATGGGCTTTACACATAAGGTCCAACACTCTCACAGAGAAAGTTCTAAAAGTACATTACAGAGATGACTGAACAACTTAGCAAGCCTACTAAATATCAAATTGCATTTTTAAACCCAACATAAATAACAAATTAAAACAAAGCCAGGTGTGGTGGAATATATCGATAATCTCAGCACCCAGAGGCAACCAGAGCAGGAAGTTCAGGACCAGCCTGAGCTACAAAGCAAGATTCCACCTCGGGAAAAAAATAAGAGGAAGAGGGGGGGGGGGGGGGGGGGAAAAAAGAGGGAGGATAAAATGACGACATAAGAGATTTTTAAGATCTCCCTTAGTAAAATGAGGGGCTAGGGAAATGACTCAGCAGGTAAAGGTGCCGGATGCCAAGCCTGACAACCTGAGTTCAATCCCCAGAGCCCACATGGTTGAAGGAGAGAACCTGGTCTTACAGGTTGTCCTCTGCTTCCATTTGCACACTGTGGCACAGATGTGAAGGAGTATGTGAACACACACAGTAGATGAATAATCCAACACGAAAAAAAAAAGTACACCCGGGAAAAAAAAAAGAGGGGAAGGGGGGGGGGGGGGGAGGATAAAATGACGACATAAGAGATTTTTAAGATCTCCCTTAGTAAAATGAGGGGCTAGGGAAATGACTCAGCAGGTAAAGGTGCCGGATGCCAAGCCTGACAACCTGAGTTCAATCCCCAGAGCCCACATGGTTGAAGGAGAGAACCTGGTCTTACAGGTTGTCCTCTGCTTCCATTTGCACACTGTGGCACAGATGTGAAGGAGTATGTGAACACACACAGTAGATGAATAATCCAACACCTCCATTAATTTCTACACGTACTATATACATATATTTGAAGTACTAATGTCTATACTATAAAGTTTATAAGAGTTATAAGATACTTAAAAGATAAACTCAATTAGGAATACTACAGATACACTTCATATATGCACATATACACACAAAAAGCAGGATCTTAAAACTAGTGGAATATTATTCTTATTCTCTTTTTTTCCTCTTTTGAGACAGGGTCTTGCTTGTCCCAGGTTAGTAAAAGACGACCTTGAACAACTCCTTACCTTCCTATGACCTTGAACAACTCCTTACCTTCCTACCTTTATTTCCCAAGTGCTGGGATTGTAAGCATGGGTCACTACCCAGTTTATGCAGTGCTGGGTTCTCCCACTACATGTTAGGCCAGCACTCTACAAACTGAGCTACATTCCCAGACCATTTCCTTATTCTGATTACTTACAACTTGCTTTGTGTGCTCCAAACAATCACCAAAACATAAAGCTAATCATACACATACAGCAGATGAATGAAAACCACTGAAAACATCGTGAGCATTTGAAAGTGAACATATCTGGCATACCTCTATGAACTACACGCAAAAGTAGGAAAAGAGACAGTACAATGTTTAGCATACTCACGGACAGAGCACTGAATTGGTGGGTCCTCCTACCACTTGAGAGACACCTAAATTTCCCCAATTTTTTTCTTATTTTTTCACAATACACATTTTAGTAAGGTGATATCTGGTAGCCTTGGTTTTGAGTGAACAATCTGTGATTAATCTCAAAAATGAATTACCTGACTCAAAGCTGGGATGGAACTTGTTTGAGAAGTGGTTTGAGATATAGGACCATTCATCTGTAAAATTGAAAACATTAAAAGCATCATTACTACAATATAAAGAACACACAATTTTAAACCATAGTAACTTAGCAAAACCAAAACCACTGAAAAATGCTCATTCTTATATAACAAAGAAATTCATGAACTCCTAAGATATTCAGAAGGACACAGCCTTAAGACATGCAATTTTGAAGTTCTGACTAAACATTAAAAGTAAAATTTCTGGTAGTCTCAACTGAGGAAATTAAGAAGCTACTTTTCCTGAAGCCACTTAGAAACTCTAAATATTACTGCTTGACAGGATTTTAAAACTGGAGAGGGGGCTGCTTCTTGGGCTTTTTTTTTTTGAGACAGGGTCTCCTTGTAGCACCAGCCATCATTGATCTCACAGAGATCCACCTGTCTCTACCTCTTGAGTGCTGGGACGAAAGGCATGTGCCACCACACCCAGCAGGATTAAAATTTTTAAGGTTTTATTTTTGTTTATGTGTGTATGTATGGGGGGGGAAGGGGTACCCCTGAGTGCAGTGCCCTGGGAGACTAGAAGAAGGTGATGGATCTTCTGGAGCTGGCATGACAGGTACTTGTTGGATCTGACCCTCTGCAAGAGCAGCAGCAAGCATTCCTACATTCTTATACCACTGAGTCAACTCTCCAACCCAAAAGTAAAATTCAAAGGCAATCAAAAATGGAATAAAGTATAAAAACTCCTAATTAACTCTTCAAATACACTTTACTACAATGGTTGTGGAATTAGTGAGATACTTGTAATTTAAAACTGTGTGTGTACACACATACATGCCATGGTGTGCATATGGAGGTCAGAGGACAACTTTCTGGAATCAATTCTCTCCTTCTACTGTGAGATCTTGAGACTGAACTCAGGCTTGTGTGGCAAGCGCTTTTTTACCCACTGAGGCATCTTGCTGGCCTCAAACTGCATTTTCTTGATACAAAATACAAAACATTAAGTAACCAAAATTATGATTTTTTTTTGTTTGCTTGCTTCTGTATTACCTAGTATTTGCACTTTCCTCTGCTAAAGCTGTGCAGACTTTTTTCAGACTGGCAAGGTTTAGTCTAAAATACTTTCCTTGGTATTTGAGGAGATGACAGATCAGAGCATAAACTACAAGTCTCCTTACCACTTTTCTCCTGAGGTAAGCCATAAAGCCAAGCTGACTTTCCCTTGAAAACAAGCCTGCTGCTACCAAAGGAGAGGACTGCCATGTATACACAGGTCTTGCTAAGCTCTTTTCTATAACATTAGAATATGATCTTTTTAGTGTGATTACACTTTTCTGTACCTGTCCACTTCTGAATCATACTTAGCCTGACTACAGTTTGCCCTGTGGGTCTCTATTTCTGCACTCTTGTCATACAAGCTTACAGCTAAATAAATGTGCATGCTTTTCTCCTGTTTACCTGTCCTTCGTTGTAGGACCTCAGCTACAAACACTGGATGAGTTTTTAAGATATTATTTGATACACATATCCTAAGGAATTCAATAAGATTTCTCAAGTCCAATGTAGAATTATTTTAGCAAAAAGAAAAATGGATGCCTGTGGCCATGGTCCTGCCCTCTGACACCACCTACCAGATGAGCGCTGTCCTTGCCCTCCTGGACTTGCTGCGTCTGCGGTTCAGCCACAACTTTAGTGTCCTGATCAGAAGTCATGGGCCCCACTGGGAGAAGTTTAACCTCAGGATGCTGTAAAGTGACAGAAAGTTAACAGGTCATTTGAGGAGCATGAGGTGGGTTTTTTGTTTTGAGACAGTCTCACTCTATAGCCTAAGCTGGCCTAGAACTCACTATGTAGTTCAGATTGGCCTCCAACTCACTGCAATCGTCCTGTCTCAGCTTCCACAATGCTGGCATTATAAGTGTGAGCTACTATATCCAGCATTATGACTGATTCTTAAAGTAAAATGACTGTATCTGCAAAACCTCAAGTTTTCTAGGACACTTGTTTGTCCTTCTGGATTAAGTATTGTAAAGAAATCTGCTCATAATATATACATTACTCACCAAAAAGTAACTTTGTTTCTTCTTTGTAAACCATATTAGACAACTTAAAAATCATGTGCTAACATAGAAAAGCCCCAGGTTTTTGTTTGTTTTGGAGACAGGGTCTCACTATAAACCTGGGCTGGCCTGGAACTCACTATGTAGACCAGACTGGCTTCAAACATATAGAAGAGATCTGCTTGCCTCTGCCTCTCGAGGGCTGGGATCAAAGGTGTACCCCATCACACCCAGCTCAGAAATTCATCTTAAAACTTAAAATTAAGGGGTTAGAGGCTGGAGAGATAGCTCAGCAGTTAAGAGCACTGGCTGCTCTTGTAGAGGACCTGGGTTCAATTCCCAGCACCCACATAGCAGCTAACAACATCCTTAACTCCAGTTCTAGGGAAATCTGGCACCCTCTTCTGACCTCCACAGGCATTGCATGACACAGGTGCACTTACATATATGCAGGGAATACACCCATACACATAAAATTTAAAAATAAAATATTTTTAAATTAAGGGGTTAATAAGACACATGGGGAATATTCACAGCTTAATAGCAAAATGGCCAAAGAATATAAGCAGATCTTTTCCCAAAGATGTAAAAATGGTAAACACATATACAAAAGATATTCAACTTCACTAATCATCAGGCAAAAGCAAATTAAAACCACAATAAGTTAACACCATGCACTTGTTCAGATGGTTACAAAAGACTAGAGCTAACAAGTGTTAGCACAGGTGTGGACAATAGAGAATGCTGCTGGCAGGAACTGATACAGCCATTATTAAAAGCAGTAGAGAGGTTTCTCAAAAATTTAAAAACAGAACTATCACCGCACATGAGCCAGCAATTCCATTTCTTGGTTTGTATCCAAAGGAAATAAAATCACTTCATAAAGATATCCCATGTTCACTGCAGCATCTGTTCACATAGCCAAGGTACAGAAACATGCTAGTCACTAATGGATGAAAGAAGAATTGGAGAGAGGGGCGCTGAGACTGTCCAGACTTAGAATATAATCTTGCTATATGCTAAACATAGATGAACGGATAAACCTGGAAGACAGTGTGCTAAGTGGATTCAAGCACAAGTTGAACACTGTATGAATACGCTTACAAATGCAATCTAATTAAAAAAAAAAAAGATCACTGAGAAACAAACTGGTAGTTTTCAGAGAAAGGGAGCCATAGGTCAAAGGGAACAATATTGTAGCTATGTAGAATAAATAAGTCTTATAATCTAGCATACAACACAAGGTCTATAGTTATAATATGGTACTCTGGGAGTTTGCTAAGGAAACAAGTTTTCCATGTTCTTGGTAAGTATACAAACAGGTAATAATGTGAGAGGATTGATGAACTGATTGGCGTGACAACAGTAGTCATTTCACTGTGTGTACCTGAGGTAAACATATTCTAAGAAACTGTAGAAAACTATAGAATTAATCAAGTCAAGAAGTAAAAAGTTTTTGATGAATCTCTCAAATTTATATCTTTCTAATTTTTGACTGACCCCACTGACTTTATCTTGATCAAGATCAACAGGTGTCAAAACAAAGAAGCAATAATTTCAAAGGAATGAATTCACTAGAAAGAAGTTAAAAATATTTGAGTACAGTGATATAAGTATTCTAGGATTTGGGAAGCATTTCCTCAACTCAGTGGCTGGACAATGAATCTCACATATAATACCTCATTTAATTCTCATAAATGACTTATGAAAGGATAGCTTTCATGACTTATTATTGTGAGGATTCCTGAACATTCAGTTCTGACTTGAAGGGATTTCTTCTTTAATATAACAAATAGGATAAAGAGCTCAATTTAGTCCAGGTATTTTTTAGGCACCTCTGAAATCAGTTTCCAGAGGCCAGAAACAGAAATTTAACAGTAACTAGTTTTTGTTTCACTGAGTAACTTTACAGACTTTTCACTTCTTACTATTCTAAGTTAGCACATGAAGCAATGGGCTTGTGTTTACACTTTGCTCTCACTCACTGTCTCTGTCCTTTCCTGTACCCAGTCACTCCCCCCCCCCCCAGCTGGGTTCCCTTCTTCCCATAGTTAGCCCCAACTTTTGCTTTATTACATGTATTTCATTACCCTATTCCCCACCTCTTTTCATCTCCTTTCATGATCCTCTTTCTAGTTCTGTGACACCCCACACATAAAGCCATATATAAATACATTTGCATACACAGACAGATACAGAGATATAATATTTAGGGCTGGAGAGATGGCTCAGCAGTTAAGAGCACTGACTGCTCTTGCAAAGGACCTGGGTTCAATTCCCAGCACCCACATGGTAGCTAAAACCATCCTAACTCCAGCTCTAGGAACTCTGACACCCCCTTCTGACCTCCACAGGCACTACTTGACAGGGACGCACCAACCTACAAGCAAGCAATACACTGAAGGCACATAAAATAAAAATGCATTATTTAAAAAAAAACAAGCCCCCCGATAATTTTAAACTAGGTTCCACATGAGAGAAAATATGTGGTATTTGTCTTTGAGTCTGGCTTATTACACGTAACATGATTGCCAGATGCATCCTTTTTCCTGCAAATGTCATGATCCCATACCTAAAATTCCACTGTTGATGGACATCTAGATGGCTCCATATTCTGGCTACCATGAACAGTGCATCATTGTCTACCTATCTCCCTGCTACGCTGCCTTAAGAGCCCTTCAGGCAGAGCCCTTCAGGCTCACACTCAAGAGTGGTGCGGCAAGGTCAAACGGTAGTTGTATTTGCAGCTTTGAGGAATTTCCAAGTGGATACACAAGTTGACGTTTCCACTAACAGCAAAGGTTCCCCTTTCCTCGCGTTCTTGCCAGCATTTGTTGTCATTTGCTCTCTTGATGACAGCCATTCTGACTGGGAGGAGATGGCATCTCAAAGCAGATTTAATTTGCATTTCCCTGACAGCTAAGGATGTTGAAGTTTTTCATCTCTATACTGTGCCTCCTTATTCTCAAAAATCTAGTTTTAATTCCCACCATTCCTGTTAATGAAATAATTTGATGATCAAAAGCAGTATCAGTCAGGCATGGTGGCACACACCTTTAAAGTCAGCACTTCTCTGAGTCAAAGGCAGACAGAATTCTGTGAATTCTAGGCCAGACTGGTCTACATAGCAGGTTCCATGCCAGCAAGAACTACATGGTAAGACTGTCTCCAAAAACAACTGGGGGACAATGCAAAGCAGGGGAAGTGGAACACACATGCTCTGAAAATGGAAGGCGAAACACAGGGGGTGGAAAAGTTTAAGCAGAGAGGAGACTTAAAGGAGATGGGGGAGAGGATAAGAGGAGGGTCAACCAAAACTAAAGATCTATGAAAAAGCAATAAGGAAACCTGGTATTTGGCAAATTAATTAAAAAAATAGAATTATCAAAAATAATAACATGGGCATCCTGCATGGACGGATAATGAAGATGCCAGTGTCTATAGTGGGCTACCTCCCCATGAGTTGTTGGTCAGGAAGTCCCTGAGACCACCAAAATAAACACAGGCAACTAGATGGTAACACCCTATTGCCAAAGACATCGCATACTCTGGCTGTCACCAAGAAATCAAGCTGGAACTGAGGTGAAACTTACTCCCTGCTGGCTTGCCCTCACAATGCCAGAAGATGCCATGCAGGCTGCCAGGGGAGAATTGTCCTCAACTGTCCTCCTCGGTGCACCTTGCATGCTACAGTATCATCCTGCCAACAAGATGTGCCCTACTGTACAGCAGAGGCAAGTTTGTTACAGAGGTAATCAACTTCTGACTGCAACTGAGGCCCACTCCACAGGTGGGGATTTACTTCTGACTCTTAAACCTGGTCAAAACCGAAGGCTGTGGAAGTTATAGGCCTTAGCATGGAAGCTACTGCTGCTGTTTTGCTAAATGGATATGATGTGCCTGTCAAATGGCCTTCTAAATAACTACGTTTATACCCATACACTGAGTTGTGTTTTGGGCTTTGGTCTGAGAAACTTTTTTCTGCTGTGGTCAGCAGTAAATGCACAGACTCCTAACTGGTCAAAGTGATAAGAATAAATGACTCTTACATGCTTGGCCATAAAGGGGGCATCTATATCACACACTCCAAGGCTCAGGGAACATCAGGTGGAAAGATTGTCAGAACCAGAGGAAAGGGTGAAGTGTTATGGAATGCTATCTTTTGGGCATGACATGGCCTTTTGACTCTATAGCCTTTAATCCCAGCACTTGGGAGGCAGAGGTGGATGGATCTCTGTGAGTTCAAGGCCAGCCTGCTCCACATGGGGAATCTGTCTCAAGAAGACCAAAAAAAGAAAGGGCTGTGTCTTGAGTGAATGAAAAGAGTCACTGACTGTAACAAAGAATATTCTATTTCAAAGACAGAAAGGGTGGGAACGCATAAGGAATCACAAGGAAGTGGTAGGACAGATGAAAACTGGGGAGAAAGGTAAGGAGGCCTCACCAAAAGTGTGCAGCAACAGGGAGGGGTCAGGGCAGTCTCATCCAAATCTACTGGCATCTATGGCTGCAGCCATTAAAGCAGTGTTTAATGCTTAGCAGGCTTTCAAAGTACAGACAGGTCCACGTGTATAAATCTCAATGCTGTTTCCTTCCCTGGCCCCCAAAGGCTAAAAAGACAGCCCCAGAGAGGGGCTTCTTGAATAGAATGGAAGTCTGCCCAGCCTACAGACTGCAAGGTTAAA